GGTATATGTATCATCGCGGGTTCCAGTCTACCAGTAGATACCGCGGGTTAATATATCATCGTGGGTTCCAGTCTACCAGTAGGGTTCTAGTCTACCAGTAGACACCGCGGAGTTATTTATCATCGTGGGTTCTAGTCTTTCAGTAGACACCGCGGGGTTATTTATCATCGTGGGTTCTAGTCTACCAGTAGACACCGCGGGGGTATATATCATCGTGGGTTGTAGTCTACCAGTAGACACCGCGGGATTATATATATCACCGTGGGCTCCAGACTACCAGTAGACACCCCGGGGTTATATATCACCGTGGGGTCTGGTCTACCAGTATATATCACCGTGTGTTCCAGTCTACAAGTAGACACCGCAGGTTTATATATCACCGTGGGTTTTAGTCTACCAGTAGACACCGCGGAGTTATTTATCATCGTGGGTTCTAGTCTACCAGTAGATACCGCCATCTTGAACCTACCAGACACTGCGGGGTTATATATCACCGTGGGTTCCACACCGCGGGTTTATATATCACTGTGGGTTGCAGTCTACCAGTAGACACCGCGGGATTATATATATCACCGTGGGCTCCAGACTACCAGAAGATACCGCGGGTCATATACCACCGTGGGGTCCTGTCTACTAGTAGACGCTGCGGATATATTTATCACCATGGGTTCCCGTCTACCAGTAGACACCGCGGAGTTATTTATCATCGTGGGTTCTAGTCTTCCAGTAGACACCGCGGGGTTATTTATCATCGTGGGTTCTAGTCTTTCAGTAGACACCGCGGGGTTATATGTGACAATATAACGCATCGTTTATATATATGCACAGTGGAAATATAATTGTCAATTGTTCTAATATACAACAACAAATTTTCCATTTGACTGTGTATCTAAAATGCATGTATTACCATATACACGCATACGTTTCCTTTAAACTTGAGGACGTCTGGAACCATAATAAATCGAGCATTGTATACAGCTACCGCTTACCGATCCTCTCGCTCTGACGCCATCTTGAACCTACCAGACACTGCGGGTTTATATATCACCGTGGGCTCCAGACTACCAGTAGACACCCCGGGGTTATATATCACCGTGGGGTCTGGTCTACCAGTATATATCACCGTGTGTTCCAGTCTATCAGTAGACACCTCGGGGTTATTTATCATCGTGGGTTCTAGTCTTCCAGTAGACACCGCGGGGTTATTTATCATCGTGGGTTCTAGTCTACCAGTAGATACCGCAGGTTTATATATCATCGTGGGTTCTAGTCTTTCAGTAGACACCGCGGGTTTATATGCCACCGTGGGTTTCAGTCTACTAGTAGACACCGAGGGTTTATATATCACCGTGGGTTGCAGTATACCAGTAGACATTGCGGGTTTATATATCACCGCGGGTTCCAGTCTACCAGGAGATACTGCGGGTATATGTATCACCGTGGGCGTGGGTTCCGGACTACCAGTTGACACCGCGGGTTTATATATCACCGCGGGTTCCAGTCTACCAGGAGATACTGCGGGTATATGTATCACCGTATGCCACCGTGGGTTTCAGTCTACTAGTAGACACCGCGGTTTTATATATCACTGTGGGTTCCAGTCTACCAGAAGACACCGCGGGGTTATATATATCACCGTGGGCTCCAGACTACCAGAAGATACCGCGGGTCATATACCACCGTGGGGTCCTGTCTACTAGTAGACGCTGCGGATATATTTATCACCATGGGTTCCCGTCTACCAGTAGACACCGCGGAGTTATTTATCATCGTGGGTTCTAGTCTACCAGTAGACACCGCGGAGTTATTTATCATCGTGGGTTCTAGTCTACCAGTAGATACCGCAGGTTTATATATCATCGTGGGTTCCAGTCTACCAGTAGGGTTCTAGTCTACCAGTAGATACCGCCATCTTGAACCTACCAGACACTGCGGGGTTATATATCACCGTGGGTTCCCGTCTACCAGTAGACACCGCGGGATTATATATATCACCGTGGGCTCCAGACTACCAGTAGATCCCGCGGGTCATATACCACCGTGGGGTCCTGTCTACTAGTAGACGCTGCGGGGATATTTATCACCATGGGTTCCAGTCTACCAGGAGACAACGCGGGTTCATGTATCACCGTGGGTTCCAGTCTCCCAGTAGACACCGCGGGTTTATGTATCATCATGGGTTCTAGTCTTCCTGTAGACACCGCGGGGATATGTATCATCGCGGGTTCCAGTCTACCAGTAGCTACCGCGGGTGTATATAACACCGTGGGTTCCAGTCTACCAGAAGACACCGCGGGGTTATGTATCACCGAAAGTTCCAGTCTACCAGTAGACACTGCGGGTTAATATACCACCGTGGGTTCCAGTCTACTAGTAGACACCGCGGGCTTATATGCCACCGTGGGTTTCAGTCTACTAGTAGACACCGCGGTTTTATATATCACTGTGGGTTCCAGTCTACCAGTAGGGTTCTAGTCTACCAGTAGACACCGCGGGCTTATATATCACCGTGGGCTCCAGACTACCAGAAGATACCGCGGGTCATATACCACCGTGGGTTCCTGTCTACTAGTTGAAGACAACGCGAATTTATATATCACCGTGGGTTCTAGTCTACCAGTAGATACCGCCATCTTGAACCTACCAGACACTGCGGGTTTATTTATCACCGTGGGTTCCAGTCTCCCAGTAGACACCGCGGGTTTATGTATCCCCGAAAGTTCCAGTCTACCAGTAGACACCGCGGAGTTATTTATCATCGTGGGTTCTAGTCTTCCTGTAGACACCGCGGGGATATGTATTAGTCTTCCAGTAGACACCGCGGGGTTATTTATCATCGTGGGTTCTAGTCTTCCAGTAGACACCGCGGGGTTATATATATCACCGTGGGCTCCAGACTACCAGTAGACACCGCGGGTTTATATGCCACCGTGGGTTTTAGTCTACTAGTAGACACCGCGGGTTTATATACCACCGTGGGTTCCAGACTACCAGAAGACACCGCGGGTTTATGTATCACCGAAAGTTCCAGTCTACCAGTAGACACCGCGGGTTTATATATATCACCGTGGGCTCCAGACTACCAGTAGATACCGCGGGTCATATACCACCGTGGGTTCCTGTCTACTAGTAGACGCTGCGGGTATATTTATCACCATGGGTTCCAGTCTACCAGTAGACACCGCGGGTTTATGTATCATCGGGGGTTCTAGTCTTCCAGTAGACACCGCGGGTTTATGTATCATCGTGGGTTCTAGTCTTCCAGTAGACACCGCGGGTTTATATATCAAAGTTCCAGTCTACCAGTAGACACCGCGGGCTTATATATCACCGTGGGCTCCAGACTACCAGAAGATACCGCGGGTCATATACCACCGTGGGTTCCTGTCTACTAGTAGACGCTGCGGGGATATTTATCACCATGGGTTCCAGTCTACCAGTAGACACCGTGGGTTTATATACCACCGTGGGTTCCAGTATCCCAGTAGATACCGCGGGTTTATATATCAATGTGGGTTCCAGTCTACCAGTAGATTCCGCGGGTTTATATACCACCGTGGGTTCAAGACTACCAGTTGACACCGCGGGTTTATATATCACCGTGGGTTCCAGGCTACCAGTAGACACCGCGGGTTTATATACCCCCGTGGGTTCCAGTCTACCAGTAGAGGGTCCAGTTTACCAGTAAACACCGCGGGTTTATATATCACCGTATGTTCCAGTCTACTAGTAGACACCGCGGGTTTATATATCACCGTAGGTTCCAGTCTACTAGTAGACACCGCGGGTTTATATATCACTGTGGGTTCCAGTCTACCAGTAGATACCGCTGGTTTATATACCACCGTGGGTTCCAGTATCCCAGTAGATACCGCGGGTTTATATATCTCCGTGGGTTCCAGTCTACCAGTAGACACCGCGGGCTTATATATCACCGTGGGCTCCAGACTACCAGTAGATACCGCGGGTCCTATACCACCGTGGGTTCCTGTCTACTAGTAGACGCTGCGGGGATATTTATCACCATGGGTTCCAGTCTACCAGTAGACACCGCGGGCTTATATATCACCGTGGGCTCCAGACTACCAGTAGATACCGCGGGTCCTATACCACCGTGGGTTCCTGTCTACTAGTAGACGCTGCGGGGATATTTATCACCATGGGTTCCAGTCTACCAGTAGACACCGCGGGTTTATATATCCCCGTGGGTTCCAGTCTACCAGTAGAGGGTCCAGTTTACCAGTAAACACCGCGGGTTTATATATCACCGTAGGTTCCAGTCTACTAGTAGACACCGCGGGTTTATATATCACCGTAGGTTCCAGTCTACTAGTAGGCACCGCGGGTTTATATATCACCGTTGGTTCCAGTCTACCAGTAGACACCGTGGGTTTATATATCACCGTGGGTTCCAGGCTACCAGTAGACACCGCGGGTTTATATATCCCCGTGGGTTCTAGTCTACCAGTAGACACCGCGGGTATATATATCACCGTGGGTTCTAGTCTACCAGTATATCCCGCGGGTTTATATACCACCGTGGGTTCCTGTCTACTAGTAGACGCTGCGGGGATATTTATCACCATGGGTTCCAGTCTACCAGTAGACACCGCTGGTTTATATACCACCGTGGGTTCCAGTCTACCAGTAGATACCGCGGGTTTATATATCACCGTGAGTTCCAGTCTACCAGTAGATACCGCGGGTGTATATACCACCGTGGGTTCCAGTCTACCAGTAGAGGTTCCAGTTTACCAGTAGACACCGCGGGTTTATATATCACCGTAGGTTCCAGTCTACTAGTAGACACCGCGGGTTTATATATCACCGTTGGTTCCAGTCTACCAGTAGACACCGTGGGTTTATATATCACCGTGGGTTCCAGTCTACCAGTAGACACCGCGGGTTTATATATCATCGTGTGTTCAAGTCTACCAGTAGACACCGCGGGTTTACGGTATCATTGCGAGTTCCAGTCTACTATAGTGGACAGTACTTACCGTTGTCGTCTCCACCATGTCCGGATGACTCCTGTGTGTCCAGCTCCGCGGGACGTCCCGTCAATAGCTGTTAACACTGTGATGTCGATATACAATAAAAGGATATCAATAAGTTAAATCCTGCTATATGTCCAGCAGGTCAGTCTGCTAGCCAGTGGTCAGTGCGACCAACACCTACACAACAAACACATTCCGAACTTTAATGGCGACTGGCTTGTACACCTGACCGCCAATTATTTCTTTTGATTAAATTGTGGTGCGAGTAAGGGTTCATGTATGGTCAACTTGACGACTTCTCCTCAAACGCATGAAAAAAACCGGTTAAAAACGACTACCACGTAAAACAATTAAAATTAGTCATTTGACGACTAGACATCATTAATATATGTATTTGTCAATAAAGTTTTAGAATAAAATCAAGTAGAATATTTTAATCGTTACACCTTATTAAGCTTGTAAAACTTAAACTGACAATACCCCGTAACAGTGTTATGTCTGTTGTTAGCTTGGCATAGCATTTGATTGCCATTTGATTTTTGTTTTTTCATTTTAAATTAAATTTTAAAAAAAAATAATTGAAAAAGGTTCCTTAGATTTCATCAACATTATTAAATATTCCTCATCGAATATATAAGTTATGGTAAATAGTAAACTTGTTTAGTGGTTAAATTATTCTGGTAAAGCTAACAATGCTTTGTACGGATGGGGTCACTCAACCGTACGGTACATGTAGGTAGTACAGTACACTCTACCCGTTACACAGTGTAATCCTAGTTCAAAAGAAGCGTCAAGTTCCTGCTCGTTAATTGTTAACCGTACATGTATACATGTATACCTCCAGCCCGAATAAAGGTCTAGTGTGACCTTTCACCTTAAACCTTAAAGACCGCTGGTCATGTGTTGAAAACACTAGGCCTGGTGACATCAATTTATTTTGTACGCGTTTAAGCGTAGAAAACTGTACATGCAGTAATCTAAGCAATAAGCATAAATGTGACGTTTTACCAGAACATAAAGATATATCATCCGATAAAGTGCTAAAACGGGTTTTCTCGCTAAAGTTGGTAGTACAGGAATAGGTAATGAAATACCTTATAATTAGCTAACAAATATATATTGGTCTCTTTAAATGTGGTGGCTCTTATATATAATTATATTTTAATGTATATTATTGCCTTTTTGGAATCTCTAAAGTCAAGTTTACTTGACACCAATGTGTAACAGTGTTATAATATCTTATGATAAGCTATAGCAGAGACGTATGGTACATGTAATATACGTCTCTGGCTATAGTAAGTATATTGCATTTTGGAGTCTCATAGGTCATAATTAAAGTGTACCCTGAACGAAAATAGAAATGAATATATTATTATTCTATATGATCCAAACACAAAAATTTCGAAAACTGCATTAAAGTCGGTCATCCCGATACCGAGATATCGACGTGTAAAGTGTGGGATTTTCACCTGTCCTTCTACTAACTAGCATAATCGATTTGGCTCCGAAGATAACATTATGTAGATGGTATCCAGTGATATAAAATTTGCCAGAATTTCCAGACAGTGAGTTTAATTGAACCCAAACTGACGACTCTGAATACGGTAATATAGACTGGTAGCATTGCATGTCCTGATCCTGAGCACTGATGAGAGTTTTTCTCTCGAATGAACGAGTTTGAGGGAAATTAAACAGAGATAGTATCAATGTTGTCGATCAAAGATATTTTAGCTGGAAAGTCAGTTTGCAATTATTTTCTTTACTCTACACAGAGATATATATACTTCATATGTCTCTGCTCTACAGTAAAAACCTATCAAATCATGTCGTCATTGCACACCTTCGTGACCAGTTTCTGTGCCAGGATATTTATCTTGCAAAGTTATATACTGTGGTACCTCTACGGTCCAACAATACGGAAATATATCAGTGAAAAATGTTTATAAAATAACTTCAACGTTGGTGTCTGTTGTTTTTAAATGTCAATATTTTTAGTAATAACAAATCGACGACATTTTGTCTTTCTTATGTTAGGTCGCCAATTCAAATAAACAGCAAAATACAGACAGTTACACATTTAATTGTATGCAATACAGTACCTATGTATGTGATGCTAAATAAGATCACAGACTTATATAATCTAATTTCGTGATAACATTTATCTCAAAAATCTAATTGAATTATGAGATTCAAACATTTTTGTTTCTCCCTATACATGTATAGGTAGAATATGTAGAATACACAAGTTATAATTTAACATATTGGTTAAATCACGGAATTAGATCTAAGTCCGTGGTTAAATAATGAAAATCATCTCGATCCACTCCCTTAGCATACTTAGGTGTGCAATTTGTGTACAGGTAAATAACACTAAACGCCTGTGTCCAGTACTGACACCAGGAGGCCCAAAACACACCTACACCTATAAATCGCAATATCTCGGAAACGGAGTCAACTACGACGTTCGCACTTTCTTAGCCTTTAATAAGCTGACACATATAGGCATTTTAAATTTGGTGAAACTTATTCCAAGGTTTATTTACTATTGCCTCTTCAATAACAGTGTTATAATTTCATATGATAAGCTATAGTAAGCTGACAAATATTGGTCTTTTAAATTTGGTGATATTTATATTATTTTAAGGTATATTTTTGCATTTTGGAGTTTCAGAAGTCTAAATTGACTTGGACATCAATGTGCTAGAATAACTTATGGATAGTTGTTACAAGTATTGTTCTCTCAAAACGCGATGACACTTGGGCTTTTGTATTTTATGACATTTTGGACTCTCATAAGTCACAATTAACTTTGACAACAATGTATTGAAATAACTTAAAAACTATATATATATATGCTAAAATAAGCTGACAAATATCGGCTTTTTAATTTTGGTGAAACCTATTCCAAGATTTACATAATATTGCCTTTTCAAGTATCATAAGTCAAACTATAGCTTTGACAGGAATGTGTTTTAATAATGTATAATAAGCTAAAATAAGCTGACAAATATTGATCTTTTTAAAAATGACAACTGTTTTTTTATGTATGTTTTTTTGTCTTTTTAGTGTCTCATATGTCGATTAACTTTGGCTGGATACTGATCTAGTTTTATGTACATTTTACCTGTTTTATATTTAGATCAATATTTGACACTTTAATTGAATAAAATAATTTTATTATTTATTATTATTATTTTTGTTATTATTATTTATTATTATAATTATTATTTGTATAATATGTTATGTATATATACATTTAAATTCTTACGACAGACTAGACGTAAGTTCAGCGTAGACCAAAGCTAACCGGTCTAAATGGTGTCCTATTCACGGCTGGTTCTCCCTAAACCTGGTTATATTCACTCTAAATGTCAACCCCCTGTATAAATTAGAAAATCTTCAAATAATATGATTAACTGAAATTCTAATATGTTAGTAAACTGTATACTTTCGGAAACGGTTGAACTATTTAAATGGTTGTTTTCACGTCATATTAACAGCTTTAATGACATACCAGTGTTTTTTTGTGAGGAAAAGCCGGAAATCCCGGTGAAAAACCACCGACCTACGGCAATACCTGGCGACTCCCCCACGTAGGCCTTTATAAAAATATTTCACCGGACTCTCCACAGATGTAAAGAGAAATTAAGTGCTGCGTGACCTAATTGTACTTTAGGTTATATGTCAAGACATTTTGTATGTAGCATTCAGTTGGGTCACAAAAGAAATTGACATGTTCAAAGTCCAGAAGGCTATTCTTTCATATAGACATTGGCCTTGCGCTACTCTAGACATTGATACCCGGTAATACATCATTATTATTACATGGGATTATTTTTCCATAGAGAAACAAATTTGGCGAAATGGGGTACGTACGCTTAATCTTGCTGACCGGGACGATTCTATACAAAAAGACACATTCATGCATATGTCCAAAGGTGTAGGATAGAGAATTCAATACTGATTGGTTATAACCGTCTAGGCCTGTTGTGACGATAGAATTCCCCAGGACATGAAGGACATGAACCATTTTTTTTCTATCGTTTGCAAACTCAAAATCAGGAAAAAAACGATTTGCCCGGCTAGAATTTGAAAACATGAGTTTTTCTCTGAACTATTTGTACCAGATCGTCCTGGTCAGCGAGATTTATCATACCACATTTCGCCAAACTTGTTTCTCCAAGGAAAAAAAATCCCATACATGTAATAATGATGTGTTATCCGAATATCAATGCCTGGCCCTCATAGCCTCATAGAGTATCCGGATTTGGCCCATGGCCTTACATCTGGATATGGTTCCATTGCTAATCAAGTCTGAATACAAGTATCTTGGTATGGCTCCGTAGAGAATCCGGATTTGGCCTTTTGGAATCACAAACTATCCAGTGTTGAGCGACGGGGTATTAAAGTATCCACGAAAAGTCCAAGACTGGCCAGAGTAGGCCTAGTCTAGATTCACTCTATTTGAGTTATGTTTTGTGCAGCTACCAATGGTTAAATCTTGTTATTTTTATTGTTATTGTTTATTTGTCAAGCCTTTTGGAACAGTATGTATCTATGTCACGGGATCAGTCCACATGTAAGAGTTATGTCCACTTGGTTCACGATGCAGTACATGCAGTTAGAGACCAACTATGTTAAGAAAACTCTCGTTAAAAGAAATTTAAATACTCTGCTGTATTCAGTAACTATCTTTGCTATTGACCACTTTTAACACTCTTGGGTTAAATGGCCACTTGTGTTCAGAAAACAAGGGTTATACGAACCCACGTGTTCAGAAAACAAGAGGCCAAGAGGTCCTGTATTGCTCACCTGAATCTTCATGCCCAGCAATTGTAACAAGAGTCCCATGGGCCTTAACGGTCACCTGAGTCCTACAGTATTTATTTTTGTTGTTGAAATATGTACCAATTTGAGTAAAAAATAGTTAAGTATAATGTTAACTTAACTTTGTCAGGACCATGAGCTGATCATTCCTAGACCGATTTTAAATAAGATCGGCCTATTAGAAATTGTTTTTAAGTTTAGAATAGGTATTTACAAAATAGCGGCTGTGGTGGCCATATTGGATTTCTGATTGACCTGAAAAATAACAACACTTTGTCAGGACCATGAGTCGATCATTCCTCCCAACTTTCAGTTCAATCGGCCCAGCAGAACTTGACTTTAAGTTTGAAATGTAAAATGTGAACGGACGACGGACGACGACGGACGAAAACGGATAGCAATAGGTCACTTGAGCTAAAGCTCAGGTGACCTAAAAATGGCTATGGATTGGGGATTTCAACCATTTCAAAGTAATTATGACCGAAGAATTAAGTCCCTAGGAGTAGGGCCAGACCCAAGGGTCAATACTAATATCATGATTGTGTTCGTCTCTTAATGCCAAGCAATGGTACATGTATATATGGTTATGGGGATGAGGATTTCAACCGTTTCAAAGTTATGGCTCAGAAATTAAGTCCCTAGGGGTGGGGCCAGAACCCAGTCAATTCTTATACCAGGATTGTGCTTGTTTCTTGATGCTCAGCAATCGTGTTCTTGTTGGTATAGGGTGGGGATCTAGATAATGTCTAAGTTTGAAATTATTTTTGGCCCTGCCCCTCAAATCCGGAGGCGAGCCTTAAACTGGTACATGCTTCCAAGCAAATAGGGTTGATATCCAACACTTTGTTCCAGAGAAGAAGTCGCTTAAAGCAGTATGTCCCAATAACCCCTTTTTGGGCCTGCCCTCAGTCCCCTGGAGGGGGTTCAGCTCCTCCATTTGTACAGTTTTGAATCCCCATCACCTAGGGATACTTCCAACTAAATATGGTTGATATCTTTGCCTTTGTTTCATAAAAAAGTCGCTTGAAGCAATATAGCCAAATAACCATTTTTGACCCCACCCCTCAGCCCCTTCATTTGTACATTTTCCTATCCCTACCATTTAAGATGTGTGAGCGATTACCTGTGTAAAGAAACCACTTTTAAACTACATCCCCTGGTAAGAGACCACCTATGTTAAGTGGTCCTACCTGTGTTAAGAGATCATGTTAAGAGACCACCTGTGTTAAAAGATCAGTTATTTTCGAGTTAACTGCACCTGAATTATTTGTACTGGAATACTACTTTCTGGATTTCCCCGAGGTGTAATACAGATTTTGGATTTCCCCAAGGTGTAAAACAGATTTTGGATTTCCCCCAAGGTGTAATACAGATTTTGGATTTCCCGGAGGTGTAATACAGATATTGGATTTCCCCGAGGTGTAAAACAGATTTTGGATGTTTGTGTGAAACAGTGACAAAAACCTGTCAGGAGCCATTGACTTTTTGATACTAAAGATTGAAAGCACTGCTTCGTGTATAAACTTTGATGATCCAGTTATTTTGACTACAGGATACAGAATTCATGCAAAACATATTAAAATTAGTCATTCTTATGTCTTATTTTTAAATTGCATTAGTTTTTATCCTCCAAAAAAAGAGAGAAAATGCTTAAAAAGTGTACATCATTCATAATCACTATCTTATTTTATTTCATTTGTGCTGTGGATTGCTTTAAAACTCTTTTTTTCTTTTTTTTTAAATTGCATTAGTTTTTATCCTCAAAAAAAAGGAAGAGAGAAAATACTTAAAAAGTGTACATCATTCATAATCACTACCTTATTTTATTTCATTAGTGTTGTAGATTGCTTTAAAACTTGATTGGTTTATAAAAACATTTTGCTATGAACACAATATTGTTTGCTTTCAAAGCGTGTACGAAACTAAAGGTCTCTTATGCTTCCCTACCTTCGGGAAACTTTGAAGTGTGAAAAATTAATCACTTTGATTCAGTTTCTGTAAAAGTAGAATATTTTGCGTTGTTACCTGTTCAATCACCTGTGCGTGTTGTTTATCTTTAAACTGATCAGTTGGGAAATTTTCATGTTGACGAAGGTTCTGAAATCTATATACTCTCTCTATATAAAACGCCATGTTCATGAAGTGCTCTGTGACAGTCGAAAGTTAACTTGCAACAGAATATTTTGAATTTGGTGGTGTTTTTTTTTATTCCAGTGCAGGTAATTTTGGGCTTATTTACTCAATGAGAAAAAACAGGGAGCATTTTTACAATGTGAAAATTTCCACTTTTTAGAGAAAAATAATATACCCACAGAATCTATTTTACATTTCTATGGTAGGCACGCTGTGGCCAAGTGGTTAAAGCGACCGACATTCTGCTACCACTAGCCCTCCACAACTGGATCGCTTGTTCGAGACCTACGTGAGGCAGTCGCCAGGTACTGGCTGTAGGTCGGTGGTTTTTCTCCGGGAACACCGGCTTCTCTCCACCACCTAAACCTGGCACATCCTTAAATGACCAAAGCTGTTAAACAGTTAATAGGACGTAAAACACAAACAAACCACTCCCTGTAGAAAATAGAATGACTTCACCTTAAGCCTTGTTATAATTGGTTACTTCGGATAATAGAGAGGAAGGAGTCAAACAAACAACAGGACACTGGAGTTGACGTTTTGTTTTTATTGCGGCCGGCCTGTACCGGTCTAGGAGTGCTGGGATCTACAACTATCCGAGTGTAAAAGGTCACATGAAGCGTTCTCAGATCTGCTATAAAAAAATCTTCATCTAGAAATCTTACAAGCTTAATAAGCAAATAAATATAGAGATAAAGTTCAAAGATAAAGTGTTAAGTACATTTCATAAAGGACCTGAATTCTTCTTCAATTTTGCTAAAAACAGCTCATGTCCCGATATCTCTAAAGAAAACAAAAGTGTCTGTTGTATTTTCATTATCATCAGCTATTTGATCATGTTTAAATATACTTTCTACATGACATTTCTGTCCACATTTATGAAACAATATCTGAAATTTAATGCGTATTTTTTTTTATAATCAATACCAACCATATCAATAGTTTTTTTTATATCATTACTCAAACTATACATTCTTTCAAATTACAGTTATTTTTAAGAAATGGCACTTTTTCATTATTATTTCAAATTTCAAACTGAACTTATATTTTTTTTTAGAAATAGTCACGATTATTTTTTCCCTTTTTGAAAATTGGGACAAAGCTAGAGATATAAAGTTGATTTTGACTTCTCTTCCAGATAAAACATGGCAAGCACCTTGGGTAGCATAGACACTCTACATATAGTGCTAGGCTGACTAGTCAGGTAGGCATCGAACGGTGGTCAGACACTGACAGGTCATCTGTGGCCAGGGACTGACCAGTAAACAGTGGCCAAAGACTGGCCAGTAACCAGTGGCCAAAGACTGACCAACAATTGGTGGCCAGAGACTGACCAGCAAACAGTTGTCAGGGACTGACAGGAAATCTGTGGCCAGGGACTGACAAATAGTGGCCAGTGACTGACCATTAAACAGTGGCCAAAGACTGACCAACAAATAGTGGCCAGAGACTGACCATTTGGTAGAAACTGACCAGAAAACATCTGGTAGAAACTGACCAGCAAGCATTGGCAAGATAATAAATGACAAACCTTCCCAGTGACTGACCATCGAACTATGCCTTGAGACGGCTGTTAATGTCTTTTAGTAAGTGTTATCTGACAGTAATAAGGTCAGTTGTGGCCACTACAGTATGTTTATTGCTGTAGATGAAATAGAATGAGCTAGGTCCATATATGGTTTACATAAAAACTGGGGGACATTTACAGATAACCAGAAACCACTGATATATTTATATATAGCTGGCTTCATACGACAAAAAAAGAAGTGTTATTAATATATAAATCATCACCTAGGTTATACATTATAGAATTCAATACAAGGGGAATAATTTAAGAAATAATACAATTTTCTAAGTAGAAAACACATAATGTAATACTTCAACAACCAATAGATATTATTGCTAAAAACAAATGACAAGCGTGCAGTAGGTTGTCTTCCCTGATAGGGTCAACATCCCCTGATAAAGGGTAACCCCCCCTGATCAGGAGTTTCCTCCTTAAAATCAGGGTGGTCTCCCCTGATAAGGGGTTGTCTCCCCTGATTGGTCGACTGGTATGTGGACAGCAGCTAAAGGTGCACATATTCGCTCTCCGTTCCAGACAATCTTTCTCTATCACTTTCATGTCTTTTGTGCACCAACTCTCACGTTTTACGCTATTCTCTCACTCTCACACTTAATAGGAAATCCGTTCACTTTCTCTCTCATATTTTTAAAACAAAACTATTATCCATAGATCAACTAAAAATTCACAGGAAACACCTCACAATAACGGCAGCTTGGGGAGGTCTGGGTAACTCTAACATAGAAACCATCCAGCCAACTTAAACCGGATGTCTCCAATTGTGACTTGACAAGTATTGAGCATCGATTAACTGTTCATTAGTTAAAAAATACATGAATATTTCATTCACTAATTATCCACTAGTTATCTATAAATTACACTAGCATATTAAGATTACATATCACATGATTTCATCATTATATAAACAAGTACAAATGTAGGTTCAGTAAGACACTGCTTCTCAAATAGTTCTATCGTAACATTATACAATTATTAAACCTCTCCTTAATGTTTTGCTATATAATCTTTTATGAGAAGCCAATATAGTAAGTTTGTATTACTGCCTAACAGCTCCACAGCTTACTATGTTTACAGAGCAGGTTTGAAAGCTCTGCGACCCACAACATTGAGCCACAAAGCAGATATTATGTTTCAGGCCATCTACAGTCTGTGTTTCTATAGAGTCAACATCTCCAGCCTATAACCTGACAAAGCACACAACATAAGCTGTGTTATGTAGGTCAATAGCTTAATAGTAGGGCTGCAACGATATATAACAATATTTTACAGAGTTTGTCGTTTCTGAATTAAGTCTTCTCATATCAGTTCAAACATGGCGAGAGACAGCTCCAGTTTGGTATGCACCTCCGAAGGCGTTAATTGTGTGAAAAGTCATGCCCATTTTGGACCAAGTCAATTTCCAATTGTAATGTTACCATTAAAAATTTGCAATATATATCTTTTCTCATTGCTTCTACTGTTAATATATGTAACGTGACCACAGTATCGTGACCACAGTATTGCGATACGGATCGTGTCGTTGCAGCCCTACTTATAATATTAGACCACAATTCTGACCAAGCAGAGTCGATTGCTGTGATGATGAGCCAGTTTGGGTACTAATGTAAGTGATGAGAGAGGTTTTGTAGATTCAGTCATTTGAGTATCACATTACAAGAATGTCCCCCCTCATGGATAAAACTACTTCCCAGATCCACGAGAGGTCTGCCAAGAGCAAGGATGTCCCACTTCAAGGGTTTGGAGCATAAAATTTCTCGAAGGATGTCCCACCCACTGGGTTTGTACAAGCCATGGGACATTTGGACAGGACAGGGGTATGTACTGTTTTGCTCCTGGTCTGGGACGTCCCATACAGACCCTGACCAAGGATTAGGATGTCCGGCGATGTTTATAGATGGGACTGGTCTTCCCAAATGGCACAGAGACACTCTCCTTCTTCCGATGGGAAAGTTTTACTTAATTGTAATAGTTCTAACATGTCTATGTCTTTCGTCACGAGATTCCTAGGATTGCGAAGGTCGGTCACCATCCAATCACAGCATAGTTTACATAAGCCTAGGATTGTGATTTGCTGCCATCTTCTAACCGTTTTTTCCTCACTGCAAAATAGAAAACACGGAAACATCATTCATCGATAATCAAGACAAGAAGAATACACTGTCGTCGATATCCCCCGCTCGCAGCGAAAAAGTCATCGAGCGTAAAATATAGGTCAAAACCAGCATCCACAATATGTATTCAGTAGATACACAATAGATGCGAGTATAATCAACATAGCACTAGTCTTGTAGTAGGCATGATATAGATGAGAGCAATACTTTGTAACCAGGTGTATGGACGTAACCAGGTGTATGGACGTAACCAGGTGTATGGACGTAACCAGGTGTGTGGACGTAACCAGGTGTATGGACGTGTATGGACGTAACCAGGTGTATGGACGTGTATGGACGTAACCAGGTGTATGGACGTAACCAGGTGTATGGACGTAACCAGGTGTATGGACGTAACCAGGTGTATGGACGTAACCAGGTGTATGGACGTAACCAGGTGTATGGACGTAACCAGGTGTATGGACGTAACCAGGTGTATGGACGTAACCAGGTGTATGGACGTAACCAGGTGTATGGACGTAACCAGGTGTATGGACGTAACCAGGTGTATGGACGTGTATGGACGTAACCAGGTGTATGGACGTAACCAGGTGTATGGACGTAACCATGGACGGACGCACACACAGACCCCATTTTTATATCCCCAGCCAACTAACTTAGCAGGGAATAACACATACAGAAATATCAAAATAAATTCTCCAAAAAATTCTTAATATCCTAATTTAGTCTTTTACATGTGTATGTTTTCATAAAGGTCATCGTGACCTATTTCTACCGTTTTCTCGGATCTGTTGAGTACTTACACAGGTCGTTGTTGTTTTGGATTTTGTCGTGGATGCGGACCCTGGGTTCAGGGAATTCAAAATGAATACCAAACCTAAGTAGGGAAGTGTTGGCCTCGATCAGCTTCAGCAGTTTCATCTCCACCTTGTTTCCAAGTGCCTCCGGTTTCTGTGTAATGAAATACATGTCAAGGATTCAACATTACCGTTCTGTCACATATAAAGGATGCAATTCTGAACAAACATGTAACCAGATATCAACACTACACTAATTGAAATTGATCTATACAGTATTTCTGACTTTCCTAATTAGTATTGACAGGTTTAATTAGCCACAAAATATTTCACTCCTAGTTAATCTTTACGTCAAATTGAGCTACAGAAAGTATATACTATAATCTAGGCGAGGTGGGAGTTGTTTGCTTTGTGACACTTTAATTGATTGTGGTGCTGTAATGTCTGTAATGCCTGAAATATATTTTTTTGATCTATAATATATATAACCTGTAAATTCATATTCGCATGCCATGATGGGGATATAATCAATACAAGAAATGCAAGCGTTCCCACCCAGTAAAAATTTCCAATCTACTGTACCACATATACACTTACTATATCCTAGGTAAACCTGATGACAATTTCCTATCTACTGTACCACATATACACTTACTATATCCTAGGTAAACCTGATGACAATTTCCTATCTACTGTACCACATATACACTTACTATATCCTAGGTAAACCTGATGACAATTTCCTATCTACTGTACCACATATACACTTACTATATCCTAGGTAAACCTGATGACAATTTCCTATCTACTGTACCACATATACACTTACTATATCCTAGGTAAACCTGATGACAATTTCCTATCTACTGTACCACATATACACTTACTATATCCTAGGTAAACCTGATGACAATTTCCTATCTACTGTACCACATATACACTTACTATATCCTAGGTAAACCTGATGACAATTTCCTATCTACTGTACCACATATACACTTACTATATCCTAGGTAAACCTGATGACAATTTCCTATCTACTGTACCACATATACACTTACTATATCCTAGGTAAACCTGATGACAATTTCCTATCTACTGTACCACATATACACTTACTATATCCTAGGTAAACCTGATGACAATTTCCTATCTACTGTACCACATATACACTTACTATATCCTAGGTAAACCTGATGACAATTTCCTATCTACTGTACCACATGATGACTTGATAATTCATCACTCATACTTATAAGTTCCATTAATTGTTAGAAGTATTCATTTTAAGCATCTTGTTTTAATTCTTACCTAGTTAGCAAACCTGAGTTACAACCACTTACCTGGTTAGCAAACCGGAGTTCCTGCAGTACCTGGTTCTCGTTAATGGCCTTAACTATCTCTACCAACGTTTCGCCGCTGATGAAGTTTGACTCCAGACTCAGCACCTTGAGTGTCTTGTTGGCTTTGAGTACATCAGGGATAACCTGTACAATAGATAAACAGTACTACATTATACCAGTGTTATTTATGATTTTATAATAGTACTACTTAATGATAATTCGAGGTTCTTATATAAAGCTTTATGACAACCTAGTTCGTAGGTCTTCTCAAAGCATTTCAACAAGAGGCCCAATGGGCCTGCATCGCTCACCTGGTATTAATCTCACACTTGTAATATTAAAAGTGGACTCAAATACAGCTACAGGCAGAATACCAGTGTTCGATTCATAAGAACCTATTAAAAGATTTAAACATATGACGCCTGTGACCTTGAATTTTGAACAAGGACATTAGGTTGAAAGTGGGTCAAGGTCATTCATTTGAACAACCTTGGTAGTCCTTCATCCCAGCATGCTACAGGCCCAATTTCAGTTCCCTGGGCCTTTTGGTTATTGAGAAGAAGTGGTTTGAAGATTTTACTCCATTTGACCCCTGTGACCTTGAAAGTGGGTCTAGGTCATTCATTTGAACAAACTTGGTAGACCTTCATCCCAGCATGCTACTGGCCAAATATCATCACCCTAGGCCTTTTGGTTATTGAGAAGAAGTTGTTTTAAAGTAAATCCGGCCGGACGACGCACGCCGTACCACGGGCCAGGTAAGCTAAAAATTGTCATCTGTGGTTATAGAGCCTTTGCAACCAGCCAATATCTTTCTCAACTCCCTGGGGAGCATACAGCTGGAGCTGCCATTTCGGCTCTCACAGCTAACATTAGACAGTTCCAGCACTGTCCAACCACATACTCATTTACAGCTGAGTAGACTGAAACAAGCAGAGTAAAGTATGTTGTTCAAAGATACAACACAGTGCCGTAAGGAGACTCGAACCTGCAACCCTTCGGTCACGAGCCTGGCGTCCTACCAATAGACTACTGTGCCTTCTAATATGACCTAACTAAGTTGTGGTGCTGTCATTTTTACTGTGCTGCTCAATTGTATTTAGACCTCCATGTGCAGCTAGTAATTGTAGACTAATTTGTAATTTAAGTTTTCACAGGTTTATATTTGCTTTACTTTCGGATGATTTCAAGTGATCAGTCAGGTAAACTTACGGAGGCGACTTTGTCCGTCATTGCGACGTTGGCCATCTCTAGAGTTTCCAGACAGGTGTTGGTTTTAAGTCCCTCTACAATCTCAGTTTGACGCTCGTTTGAAATATTCTGAAATGAAATCATATCAGTAGTGAATTAACGCTAGCCTTTTCAAAGGTTTTTAAACATACTAAGTAAGAACACGTATTACTATTCACATTGTAAAGGAACACTATGTAACTCTTTAAGGAAACATGCTTATCGATCGGGTGGAATGGTACGCTTTACTCATAGTTTGTCATGTATTGCCATGCAAAGTTAACTCATTCACCCCTGAAGACACATTTGACCTCTAATTCAAAGGTTGGAATTGTTCATTAAGAAATTTCAGGGGTGAATGAGTTAACACTTTTTTTTTCAACTCGGTTTTATAATTCTTGTATGCAGCAATTTTTTTCAAAAGGGTACAAGATACTTCTAAGACGACATCAATATTTATTTCAGCAACTGCTGTCGTCAAATCATTTGTTCCGAAATCAAGGTATTTTCAAACAGACAGACAGTAAGGCACTGTAGCATTCCTTAAAATTAGGTCTGACACATTCTCATTCCCACTTATTGAGAAAGCTTGCTTATAATGATGTCAAGTCTGTGTCCTCGGACAAAGTATCGTCTCAAAGACATTCAACTCTTATACTAATTAGGCTTATAGCGAGCTGATCTTCATGTCGCCTAGAATTCATCACGATGTGTTTTACTATGCAAAACATAAGACTTTGATATGTGAAGGGTCCCTTGCTGCAATTTTATTGCTTCAATGTAAAATGGCATCAACAATGAACAGCATGCTCGTGGTTTACCTTGATGTTATTCAGGTTCAGTGTTTTGAGCTTGGCGTCGTTGGCCTTTATCTGTTTTATACTCTCCTCCACGTCAGTATTGTTAGGGGGCTCAGCAGGCACCATCTTAAGCGCCTGTGCCTTGGCATGACCTGTCAGGGGACATAACTCATCAGTTCTCATCATCAAGGGGACATAACTCATCAGTTATCATCATCAAAGTAAAAGGAAGTAACTGACCGCTATATATAATCCTCAGGACATATACCTCAATTAATCAAAAGTAAGGGACATAACACATCAACTAATCATTACCAAGGGGACATAACTCACCATTCAAAAGGTAATTAGGGGCGACAAGTCATCATTCAAACATACTCAAGGGACATAACTAAATTACAAACAAGGCATATTAATCATTCTACATGTAACACCATCAGGGGACATTACCCATGATAAAACAAATGCATGTCAAGTCATATAAATACATAAACACAACATACTGATACTCTTATGGCAGCAAATAATACAATGTTAACACCTAACAACGGTTATTAGGGGTGTAGTATTCACACTACCCCTAATAATTTAATCTTGCTTGTAACAAGCATTTCCATCCCATAAGGAAAAAATATAACGTCGCCATTTGTAACGTCGTTTTTGATTGGTTGATACAGCGGCGCAATAATTTCTAAGAGAAAAGAGTCCATCAATAAAAGTGGATTTCCACAGGGATTGTGTATATAGTAGATTAAATTATAAGGATTAACACAAAAAACCGGAGTGTACTCTCATCATAAACCGCTGCACAGTTTATTTAGAGTACACTCCGTTTTTTTGTGTTTTATCTCCATAACATGAAAAATATATTCAAGTTAAGCCTTAAACAACGGTTATTAGGGGTGTATTATACACACTACCCTATTGCAAGTGTTGTACAGAATAGTGCACCCCCCCTCCCCTCCCCTCAAGTACTGCAAATTACTCATATTTTGTGAAAATAAACTTTACAGCTAATATTGACTTTTACGTATCCACTTTATTTGTTCAACTCGTATAAAACAAGTTTTTTTAACTTATAATTATCCCTCTTGTTGGTGGGCAGGGCAGCAGTGGGACTGATAGGTTACCCAATATTGCTTCACATCTGATGAGAGAGTAGGACCCTGTACATCGAGGTCAAAGGTGATTACCTTATGTACAATTGCTCTATTTTACAACCAGTTAAAACAATTTCTCAACTGTTAAAATTAGAGATTGATTTTATATTTAAAATAAATCAATTTGATCATTTAATGATATTTTAGTGAATACAAATTTTAAATAAATTATTTGCATCATCTATAACTTGATTGCAATTTTGTTTTAGTAAATCTAAAGATTGAAGTACAAAGTCAATTTTTTATCTGGTAAACAAAACCGCTCTTAGTCAGTTGATTTTGTTTCTGAACACATATACTTTATTTACATGTGTATGTTTAGGTTTTCATTGAATACTTTTTTCTAAGCTGAAAGAAAAGATATCTGTTCCTTCCACCAAATCACTGACATGCAAAACCATAAGGTACCAAGTATATACATATATGTACCACTTAATAGTTGAGATAGCTCTGGAAACATGCTGAGGATATTTTTTACACTAAAATATCTCAAACCAGATTTCATTATAATACATCTGGCAAGGTTCATGAAGTCTCATGGATTTGGATCAAGTAATAAGATGGTCTATATTTTGAATATGGAAAACTACTGATTTCACACAATTTTACTTTGTTGAATATTCAAATTAAAACCTGACAAATTTTGCCTTTATATTGTTGCTTGTGACATCACTATGGATGTTACACAATCTGATGGGATGGTGTTATTGTACACTGTAGAGTGATTAGTATATGATACAAATATATATACTTAAGTGAAGGTACGTATACTGTGAATGTAATTATTACTGTATTCCGGGAAATTTTTCGCTGCAAATTAATTTTCACCTTTTTTCGTCCTCCATACTGAGGACAAATTTATCATTACAGCGAATACAAGTAATCAGCCTAACCAATATGATAATTAATTGTGAAAGGCGAAATTAACACAGGTCGAAAATTGATTTCTTAGGCAAAAAGGGAAGTTTGACTGAGCTAAAATTTCCCTGTATACAGTACCTGCATATTTTTGTGTAAGATGATAGAAAGGTAAAGGGGGAGGTATACGTAGGTGGTAGTGTTTATTGAATAGGCACTTGACGACCTGGGCTTGTTTCCATGAAACAGTTCTAAGCTCAAACTCTTGTACTTTGCCCTAGAGTTATTTTTTGTTCCACTGATAAATGGATAAAAATTCATATTTGTTAACAATTTGGAGTAATATTAAAGAAATATGAAGCCCAATGCTGTTTTTAAATGTTAATATTTTAGTTTTTAACCATGTCACATTAATTTTAGCGAGTTACAAGGAAGCTAGTTTGAACACAGAATTCATGCTTGAATATGATAATGGTTTTTTTGTGAATACTGGCCAAAGTTTTAGGAAACAAATATACGAAGTGTGCTGCATGCATAACCTGTGAAATAAACTGAGAAAGATTGAAGCTGAGGGCAGGCGACGGAGTGAAGACTTATGTCAGTATGTTAATATTGTATAATATTATAAGTGAACATGTACAATACAATTTTTTCTTAAATTGCCAAATGACATCCTTGAATGACTCATAGTTATATCAGAACATTCAAACCTAATATCTTAATTTTATGCAAATAAGCACTTGACACCTAAAATGGAATGATGTGATCTTTAAACAATTATGATTATTGAAAAAAAAAATGTTGTCTATTACTGACTTTTGGTCCATTGATAATGTTTATCAGTGATTTTATATACAATCAGAGTTAATCTAAATAAATTTTGTGCAAACTTATAGTCAAATTTGGTAAATTTCTTCATTTTAAATTGAAAAATTTAGACTGATAAAAACAGCTAGGGGTATATATATATATGTGTTCCAGGTAAAATCTCAAATTCTTCATCAAGAATTGGTTAAACAATCTGAAAAGATATTTTTCAAAAAGATCTTGCACTGGCTTTTAGGCACATTATAAGTGACAGTGTTTTACAGACACAGGTTGTGTTAATGTTGTTTTAGCAGTAGTTATGACTTACATGTTAGATACTGACAACTATTTAACATCAGGCAGGGTGAGTCAGAAGCTATAGAGGGTTTGGCAGAACATTTAAAGCTTTAAACTTTGGTGTAGAAAGTTTAATCGATTCAAGTTGAGGACACATGTACTGGCTGAACCTCGTTAGATTTCACCATCCCCAAATCGAGTCGCAACAGACTATGCAGTCTCAGTACATGTGTCCTCAGAAATTGAGTGACCTATGGTCGTAGTTACTGAGAGTAGAAATAAACATAGGTATATATGCTACTTACCGCCATCTGATAGGCAAACACAAAACAATGCATCGGTTAGTCACATCAAACAACACAATGACGCCATACACAACACTTCATGTAAACAACATACCATATTCTTACACAAATACAAGGCAGTTTGCTCTTAACCCATTGACCTCTGTAAACCACAATGGACACATCCAGGTCAATGCATGGTTGAGTCAACTAAAGTTACATAGGGATGAAAGGGTTACATGAAATTTTTCAAAAAATAATTATAAATAATGCTGAAATCAAAACTTCATATGGAATCTTGATTCCTTTTTATACCATTTTTTAACATGTTTTTATTGTTGTGTGTAAAATGTTAATAATGAGAAGTTATATTTCCCACAAATTAAAAAAATAATCTTTTATGGGCGAACTACCTGTATAAAGCAGTGTTAATGACTGATTGTAATGAAGCAGTCCTAAGGCCAACCATGGAAAAATATTTGTTTGCTGTACATCTCAGATAACCATTATCAATGACACAACTCGTATAGTTTTGAGCTACATCACATTTTCATTCAATCTCTTAGTATTCAGTACCAGCCTTCCTAGCAAGACACTGGTCTGATTTACCTTTGTAGTATTCCGTCTTTGCGTATTGCAGAGTTATCTTCTCTTGTGAGCAGGTATTGATTGTTCCGTCATTGGTTTGTGTGAGAAAATAACGTCGATTTCTCAAAAATTGATGACGTTACTCTCGCAAACAAATGACGTAACAATCAATACCTGCTCACAAGAGCAGATAACTCCCTGGCCCAGAAAGACGGAATAGAGACCCACACAGCAAACAGATATTAAGTTGAGGCTGGCCTAACATTTATATAGAACTTGTACATGTCTGTCTGTATCCTTACCTGGAGACGCTGTCAACACAAGGTTCACATGCTGTTATACACATACCAAGGGCCACACATAAACAATATCTGTTTCCAATCTTCCGACCGTCATTATACACAAACATACCAAATACTACACGCAACATATAAAATTAACTTTCCCATTTACTGACTGAAACATATCTCCGACTAGGTCACACTTGAAAATATCTGTGACCTAGTACAGACCCGTGTGACTTTTATTGTGACAACATCCCCTATCCCTCCCCATTGTTTTCCCAGCCCGGGGGAGAACATCCCCTTTCCCTCCGAATCGTTTCCCTGGTCTGGGGAGAACATGCCCTATCCCTCCCCATTGTTTCCCTGGTCTGGGGGAGAACATGCCCTATCCCTCCCCATTGTTTCCCTGGTCTGGGGGAGAACATGCCCTATCCCTACCCATTGTTTCCCTGGTCCGGGGGAGAACATGCCCTATACTTCCCCATCGTCTCCCTGGCCCGGGGGAGAACATGCCCTATCCCTCCCCATTGACTCCCTGGCCCAGGTGAGAACATGCCCTATCCCTCCCCATTGTTTCGCTGGCCCGGGGAAGAACATGCCCTATCCCTACCCATCGTTTACCTGGTCCGAGGGCGAACATGCCCTATCCCTCCCCATTGTTTCCCTGGTCCGAGGGAGAACATGCCCTATCCCTCCCCATTGCTTCCCTGGTCTGGGGGAGAACATGCCCTATACCTACACATCGTTTCCCTGGCCCGGGGGAGAACATCCCCTATCCCTCCCCATTGTTTCCCTGGTCCGGGGGAGAACATGCCCTATACTTCCCCATCGTCTCCCTGGCCCGGGGGAGAACATGCCCTATCCCTCCCCATTGGCTCCCTGGCCCGGGGGAGAACATGCCCTACCCCTCCCCATTGTTTCCCTGGTCTGGGGGAGAACATGCCCTATCCCTCCCCATTGTTTCGCTGGCCCGGGGAAGAACATGCCCTATCCCTCCCCATCGTTTCCCTGGTCCGAGGGAGAACATGCCCTATCCCTCCCCATTGTTTCCCTGGTCCGAGGGAGAACATGCAGAACACTTGTTAGTCATGAACCACACTTCCATACACAATCCAGGCACATGCCTTGTAATACATATTCTGATGACAGTTCTACAGCAGCTGATCACAACTTAGAAAGGATGGGTCCTTCATAAATACAATACATCTCCAGCACACGCTGGCAAATACACATAGGGAGATATTAGCCAGGTGGCATAGGACTAGTAGTTTGCGCCTGATAAGGCAGCTCCTGCGAATTACTCAAAAATTGTATTGCTAATTGTATTAATTGTATATCTATGTACTGTATAACTTTGTACTGTAAAGCGCTTTACAGATATTGTATATTATTATTTTTATTATAAACAGATCTTGTAAGACATATGGTACTTTTTTGAGTAACTTCATCTTATATCAAAATCTTCCACAGCTGCATCCAGCAATGATTCTTGCTGTTTTGACAATTAAACATATTTATATATTCTACCTTCATTTTATTTTTTAGAGTTAAGGTTATATGCTACCTTACACATGATTTGTGTGGAGCTATCTTGCTTAAAACTTATATAACATTATCTACATGTTCATAATTATCTGAGTGCAATACTGATGCATGAGCATGTGTTTACCTTTCAAGCTAGTGTTATCAACTCATTTACCCTGTGGAATACTAGTTCTAGTTACTGACAGGTCATTTAAGTTGGGAAATCTTCTATGTAGCAAAATTTTATCTTGAATTGTAGTTTCAAGAAAGTGTATTTTGAATATATATTGTATCTATATACTTGTAAAACAAATTCCAAATATTAGTCTGAGAATACATAAAACGTGTCATAGTAAGGACACATACATGTACATATCCCTAAATTTGGTGACAAAAAAACAAAATATTCTTTTCTTTTCTACACACCTGTAAAACAAAAGTGGAATGTTGTGATATTTACCTGAGAAGCTGCCTGTGTGTGAAATATCCTCACTCTCCAGGGAGGCGTAGTACTGTGTCTGGTTCAACATGCCGTGGAATCCCAACACAGCTGTAACACAAGACAAGATAAAGTAAAATCTGTCCAAACAACTACCTCTGTATCTTCATCACTTGTAAATAATGATCACCTGCCTATAGTGACCATCTGTCTACAATAACCATTTGTCTTAAATGATCATCTGTTTATAGTTTTTGTTTTTATTGAGCACTTGTCTAGATGAAGACCTTTCTATACTGATGAACTGTTCATTATCAACAATCTTTCTTAAGTCACCACCTGTTTGTATTAATCCCCTGTCTGAAGCGATGACTTTAGTGACCTCCTGTTTGTATTAATCCCCTGTCTGAAGTGATGACTTAAGTGACCACCTGTTTGTATTAATCCCCTGTCGGAAGTGATGACTTTAGTGACCACCTGTTTGTATTAATCCTCTGTCTGAAGTGATGACTTTAGTGACCACCTGTCTGTATTAATCCCCTGTGTGAAGTGATGACTTAAGTGACCACCTGTTTGTATTAATCCCCGGTCTGAAGGGATGACTTTAGTGACCACCTGTTTGTATTAATCCTCTGTCTGAAGTGATGACTTTAGTGACCACCTGTCTGTATTAATCCCCTGTGTGAAGTGATGACTTAAGTGACCACCTGTTTGTATTAATCCCCTGTCTGAAGCGATGACTTTAGTGACCTCCTGTTTGTATTAATCCCCTGTCTGAAGCGATGACTATAGTGACCACCTGTTTGTATTAATCCCCGATCTGAAGTGATGACTTTAGTGACCACCTGTTTGAATTAATCCCCTGTCTGAAGTGATGACTTAAGTGACCACCTGTTTGTATTAATCCCCTGTCGGAAGTGATGACTTTAGTGACCACCTGTTTGTATTAATCCCCTGTCTGAAGAGATGACTTTAGTGACCACCTGTTTGTATTAATCCTCTGTCTGAAGTGATGACTTTAGTGACCACCTGTCTGTATTAATCCCCTGTGTGAAGTGATGACTTAAGTGACCACCTGTTTGTATTAATCCCCTGTCTGAAGTTATGACTTTAGTGACCACCTGTTTGTATTAATCCTCTGTCTGAAGTGATGACTTTAGTGACCACCTGTCTGTATTAATCCCCTGTGTGAAGTGATGACTTAAGTGACCACCTGTTTGTATTAATCCCCTGTCTGAAGAGATGACTTTAGTGACCACCTGTTTGTATTAATCCTCTGTCTGAAGTGATGACTTTAGTGACCACCTGTCTGTATTAATCCCCTGTGTGAAGTGATGACTTAAGTGACCACCTGTTTGTATTAATCCCCTGTCTGAAGCGATGACTATAGTGACCACCTGTTTGTATTAATCCCCGATCTGAAGTGATGACTTTAGTGACCCCCTGTTTGTATTAATCCCCTGTCTGAAGTGATGACTTAAGTGACCACCTGGTTGTATTAATCCCCTGTCTGAAGTGATGACTTTAGTGACCCCCTGTTTGTATTAATCCCCTGTCTGAAGTGATGACTTTAGTGACCACCTGTTTGTATTAATCCCCTGTCTGAAGTGATGACTTACATATAGTTATTCCTCTTATTACTTGCCTATTTTGATTGCATATAATTAATATAAGTCCCCACTTCTCTATAAGCACCTGTTGATTATTAATGATCATCTATCTAAAGTGACCACCTGTATACAGTGACCACTGCCTGTCATTAGTGATTGCCTTTCCAAATGATCATCTATATAAAGTGACCACATGTGTATAGTGACCACCTGTATATAGTGACTGCCTGTCTATACTGACCACCTATATACAGTGACCACTGCCTGTCTTTAGTAACTAACTTTGTAAATGATCATCTATATGTAGTGACTGCCTGTCTATACTGACCACCTGTCTATAGTGACCACTGCCTGTCTTAAGTAACTAACTTTGTAAATGATCGTCTATATGTAGTGACTGCCTGTCTATAGTGACCACCTGTATATAGTGACCACTGCCTGTCTTTAGTAACTACTTTGTAAATGATCGTCATTATGTAGTGACTGCCTGTCTGTATTGACCACCTGTCTATAGTGACCACTGCCTGTCTTTAGTAATTAACTTTGTAAATGATCGTCTTTATGTAGTGACTGCCTGTCTATATTGACCACCTGTATATAGTGACCACTGCCTGTCTTTAGTAACTAACTTTGTAAATGATCGTCTTTATGTAGTGACTGCCTGTCTATATTGACCACCTGTATATAGTGACCACTGCCTGTCTTTAGTAACTAACTTTGTAAATGATCGTCTTTATGTAGTGACTGCCTGTCTATATTGACCACCTGTATATAGTGACCACTGCCTGTCTTTAGTAACTAACTTTGTAAATGATCGTCTTTATGTAGTGACTGCCTGTCTATATTGACCACCTGTATATAGTGACCACTGCCTGTCTTTAGTAACTAACTTTGTAAATGATCGTCTTTATGTAGTGACTGCCTGTCTATATTGACCACCTGTATATAGTGACCACTGCCTGTCTTTAGTAACTAACTTTGTAAATGATCGTCTTTATGTAGTGACTGCCTGTCTATATTGACCACTGCCTGTCTTTAGTAATTAACTTTGTAAATGATCGTCTAAATGTAGTGACTGCCTGTCTATACTGACCACCTGTATATAGTGACCACTGCCTGTCTTTAGTAATTAACTTTGTAAATGATCGTCTATATGTAGTGACTGCCTGTCTATACTGACCACCTGTATATAGTGACCACTGCCTGTCTTTAGTAACTAACTTTGTAAATGATCGTCTATATGTAGTGACTGCCTGTCTATATTGACCACCTGTATATAGTGACCACTGCCTGTCTTTAGTAACTAACTTTGTAAATGATCGTCTTTATGTAGTGACTGCCTGTCTATATTGACCACCTGTATATAGTGACCACTGCCTGTCTTTAGTAACTAACTTTGTAAATGATCGTCTTTATGTAGTGACTGCCTGTCTATATTGACCACCTGTATATAGTGACCACTGCCTGTCTTTAGTAACTAACTTTGTAAATGATCGTCTTTATGTAGTGACTGCCTGTCTATATTGACCACTGCCTGTCTTTAGTAATTAACTTTGTAAATGATCGTCTAAATGTAGTGACTGCCTGTCTATACTGACCACCTGTATATAGTGACCACTGCCTGTCTTTAGTAATTAACTTTGTAAATGATCGTCTATTTGTAGTGACTGCTGTCTATACTGACCACCTGTATATAGTGACCACTGCCTGTCTTTAGTAACTAACTTTGTAAATGATCATCTATATGTAGTGACTACCTGTCTATAGTGACCACCTGTATATAGTGACCACTGCCTGTCTTTAGTAATTAACTTTGTAAATGATCGTCTATATCGTCTATATGTAGTGACCAAATGTTTTGATCACCGGCCTCAAGTTAGAGTAGAAGTCGTGTGACTTGTGAGAGAGGTTACCAGCGAGGTCGACGAGCTCCTCCTCTGTAGCCTCAGATAAGATGTCGTCCCACTCGGTCTGTACCGTCTCGTCCTCGTGTATAGCTGCCTTTGGTTCCTCTTTACGCTCGTATACTTTCCCTGTAACACAAAGTTCAGCTCTTAAAGTTCCACTTGTAACACTAAGATACCGTTATCTTAACTTAATTCAAAGGTTGGAATAGTTCATTATGAAATTTCAGGGGTGAATGAGTTAATAACTTGGGTTTTCCCTTAAAACCGATAATAATAAAGCCCAGACGGATAATTTTGCCTGTGAGACATAGGAGTAATGACTGTATACCCGAGACATTTTTGCCCAGTCCAATTGTTACCATTCAATGGTAAAATCCATTTTCACCCCATATCAGATTTGACCTTCATGTTTTATTATTTTGCATATCATGTTGTTTGCTGTATTGATAAATTTGCCCTATCTAAGGAGGGTGAAAAGATGAAAATTTAACTGCAGCAAAAATTTCCTGGTATACCATATTTCTTTTTGTTGGGATAACTTAAAATGGTTTTTTTCCTGGACATAAAGTATGTTTCCTGTATACATTATCTCCAAACTGTTGGTATTTTGAGAGTTATCTCCCTGTAACACTGACTGACCTTTTGTCTCCTTGACGTATGGTTTCATCTGTTCCCAGTCTTTCTCGTTCTTAGCTTTTTTCTCCAAGAAGGCGAGCAGCTTTTCCCGTTTGTACGGACCGGTGGGATCCTTCGAGGTCTGAGGCTTCATACGCTGACTCGGCGGCAGGAACGAGTTCTATAATTAGAACGAGCTTCGGCATAGTGGTCCACACAACAGTCATTATTATTGCTGTCATCAATGTTAACTAACATGTAGTTGTTTTTAACCTACAAACTAGTTCATGGCCAGTGTAAGCGGATTTCTCTGTCTAAATAATAAATCCTTCCAAAAAACTACGACCACACCTGTCACACCAAATTTAATTCTATAAGTATCCAATCAATTGCTCTGTTGAGAAATTATTTTTATTTGTCAATGCTGTGAACAGTGTGTAAATGTTATGAACAGTGTGTCAATGTCGTGAACAAAATGTCAATGTCATGAGCAGTGTGTTAATGTCATGAACAGTGTGTCAATGTCATGAACAGTGTGTCAATATCATGATCAGTGTGTCAATATCATGATCAGTGTGTCAATTTAAAGATCAGTGTGCCAATGTCATGAACAGTGTGTCAATGTCATAAGCAGTATGTAAATGTCGTGATCAGTGTGTCAATGTCGTGATCAGTGTACCAATGTTGTGATATGTGTGTCAATGTCATAAGCAGTATGTAAATGTCGTGATCAGTGTGTCAATGTTGTGATCAGTGTGCCAATGTTGTGATACGTGTGTCAATGTCATAAGCAGTGTGTCAATGTTGTGAGCAGTATGTAAATGTTGTGAGCAGTATGTAAATGTTGTGAGCAGTGTGTCAATGTCATGAGCAGTATGTAAATGTCGTGATCAGTGTGTCAATGACCTGATCAGTGTGTCAATGTCGTGATCAGTGTGCCAATGTTGTGATATGTGTGTCAATGTCATGAACAGTGTGTCAATGTCATGAGCAGTATGTAAATGTCGTGATCAGTGTGTCAATGACCTGATCAGTGTGTCAATGTCGTGATCAGTGTGCCAATGTCGTGATCAGTGTGCCAATGTTGTGATATGTGTGTCAATGTCATGAACAGTGTGTCAATGTCATGAGCAGTATGTAAATGCTGTGAGCAGTATGTAAATGTTGTGAGCAGTGTGTCAATGTCATATATACAGTTTCAATATCATTAACAATGTGTCAATGTTGTGATCAATGTGTTTATGTATAACTGATGTGTCAATGATAGAGATTGAGATCAATTTTAAGTATATAATCTCTAAATTTGTTTTTATCCTCATTGTCAATATGTTCAGGTGCTTTAATTATAAGTAAAGATTTCCACCATTAGAGTATTGTTCTGATACTTCTGTACAAGTATAAAGGGGAGGACAATGATCACAAGGCCAAGGTCACTTGATCACAAAGCCAAGGTCACATGATCACAAAGCTAATTAAAAGGTCACATGATCGTAGGGCCAAGGTCACATGATCACAAAGCCAATGTCACATGATCATAAGGCCAATGTCACATGATCACAAGGCCAATGTCACATGATCAACCATAACTTACATCAGGGTCGAAGTCGCCATTTAGCTCATCAATCTCCTCTGCGGTCAGCTGTGACAGGATTTTGTCGATGTCATCAATGTCAAAGTCCTCCACTTCCTTGGTGGCCTTCAGCTGTACGCCTTCTAACGCCATCTTCTACAACATCGCAAATTATTTTGGTTATTTAATTTGGCATAACACACAAGTAGTGCAGGACATAATACGTGTATATTTAGAATATATTCATTGCAAAACCTTTCAAACATGGTGGTATATATTGTGTATGTTGGAAATAGACAATTTGAGAATAAGATGTATATACCGGTATATTAAATGTACCTGGTAGGTGTTCATCTGCGGATATTATACAGATATCACATGTAAAAGTGTATTGAACTGGATGTACTGGTACCGAAATAAGACTGTAAACATGATTATTGATACAATTTTCTATTAGCTTAATATCACTTCTCATTTGTCAGAGGAAAACATGTTATTAACCGGAGCATGACATAAAGAGAAAACTTGTTTTTCTGAACATGTCAGATGTATTGCAGGGTTGAAATATCTCCGGAATATGGACCGGATTGGTTTTAGAGTATTTAGCGTCCTACATGTACCGTTATTAACCCTTTCACCCCTAGGTAAATTTAGTGGACTCTACCATACATCCATTGTGGTTCACAGTGGTGAAAGGTTTAACAGCAGGTATATTTCAGGACATGCCTCCATATATCTGCTAACGTTGGAGACAGGGTCCGTTGGAGTATTTGCCTCCCTATGATAGTGCAGATCTGATGCTGAGGTTATACAACTACCTCAATGAAATACCATGTGGAAGCTTTTAACTCATTCAACCCTGAAGCCACATTTGAACTCTTCCAACTCAAAGGATGGAATAGTTTGTTATGAAACTTCAGAATTGAATGAGTAAAGGTACCCAACATAACATTCTAACAGATATCTTAAATTTGACACATTAATTAAGGTTTACAAGTTTTTATTCTTGAAGAGTATAACTGTCATCTACCTGGACAGTCACACCAAAACCTCAAATCACTATCACTGTGTTCCGTATATGTACATATAATGATAATTGAACTACATTGTATGTAACCAAGTAGTCAGGTTTCAACTGGTGTCATATTACTCAATTTACTGTATAATGTCACGTTCTGGTTAATATGTTTTTTTGAATCACAAACTTCTACATGTAAATAGTGATTAGTTTATTGTTTCCTGTTAACATTATAACTTGATCTATCACACATAAACAATTATCTGTACATGTATGTACTCCAGGTTTAAAGGGGCTGGTCGGGGGGAAAATGTCATATTTGCTAAAATGGCATACACATGTTTAAAATACCTTCTTATGAAATATACCGATACAAATTTTGCTGAAATTCACTCCCTAAGAGTTAAAATTATAATTTTATTAAAGAAATCCTAAATCGTCACCTGACAGTCTAAAACTATCAATTGACCAAGATCAATGATGTAATTTTACCGCAGGCGCGTCATCAACAAGGCCAAATGTAAACATCGCGGCGAAAGAAAAAGATGCATGCAAAAGTCATGACAGGCACGAGGTATCAATATCGTTATATTTAACAACAACATATAGGTAGGAATACTACACTTGCATCTTACGTATAGTATTGCTGTCTTGTCCGCTAGTTGAGTCTGACATGGCACATGACGGCCTGCTATTGTTGTTATCTTAACTGCCTCACTTTCAAAACAACCACGTGACATATATAAATAGATCTGCGCTAAATTTACGCAGGGCTTCCCCGAGATTTCAGTGGTCAAAACTGGACATTGCAAGCAGAACTCGACCATCATATTGCCGTGGTATAACTTTTGGAAGGCCAGAGAATGCATTTAGACCCATTTATTTTGTAATTTTTTCCCCGACCAGCCCCTTTAACTAGAAAAACTTTTATGCAATGCAACATTGATTATACAGTGGCCCTATAAATAGAGCAAGCAACAGACTGAAAGAGACTTCGGTGAGCCTGATATTTCTAATTGTGTTCTAAATAACAACAGGGGATTCATATCATAACAAATGTACATATGTATTGTATATGTAAAATTTAAAAAATATGATATTGTCAGACGTTTTTGGTTTTCACAGAAAAAAAAGTGTGCTGATTTATATATTCATATCACATTTTGCTTACTTTAATTAGTACCTCACATTTTTCTGACAAAAGACACATGGTACATAAACAACATAAAGAAGTCAGATCTAGAACTTCAGCTGACCCAGGACTTAACTCATTCACCCCTGAAATTTCATAATGAACTATTCCAACCGTTGAATTGAAGAGTTCAAATGTGTGTTCAGGGTTGAATTAGTTGAAATAGTTTTAGAAGTCAAAACTTTACTTTTTTCTTTAAAGTAGGTGGGTCAAAACAGGTCAATCTTATTTGACTCAAATAAGCTTGCATTTCAAACCCAATAGTAAAATAAAAGCTCATTTTGGAGTCAAATACATTACTCTCACAGGTCAAGTAGGTATCGTAGTGAATGGGATGCATTTTCAAGAGACAGCAAAGTGTACATGTTGGTGGCTTGCATTTGTTGCAGCTGCTAGATAGGTATATATACCTACCAGCTGTGATATACTACCTAGTCACTGTACATGTTGTGTATATAATGCATGTTGTTCTTATATACATGTATAGCCTAGGTACATGTACACATGTGTACACTTGGTTGTAGACTTGTAATTTATAGCCTAGGTACATGTACACATGTGTGCACGTGGTTGTAGACTTGTAATTTATAGTCTAGGTACATGTACACATGTGTGCACGTGGTTGTAGACTTGTAATTTATAGTCTAGGTACATGTACACATGTGTGCACATGGTTGTAGACTTGTAATTTATAGTCTAGGTACATGTATACATGTATAGCCTAGGTACATGTACACATGTATAGTCTAAGTACATGTACACATGTATTTCCTAGGTACATGTACCCATGTATAGCCTAGGTACACATACACATGTATAGCTTAGGTACATGTACACATGTATAGCCTAGGTACATGTACACATGTATAAGCTAGGTACATGTACACATGTATAGCCTAGGTACATGTACACATGTATAGACTAGGTACATGTACAAATGTATAGCCTAGGTACATGTACACATGTATAGCCTAGGTACATGTACACATGTATATCATAGGTACATGTACACATGAATAAGCTAGGTACATGTACACATGTATAAGCTAGTTACATGTATACATGCATAGCCAAGGTACATGTTCACATGTATAGCCTAGGTACCTGTACACATGTATATCCTAGGTACATGTACACATGTATAGCCTAGGTACATGTAGACATGTATATCCTGGGTACATGTACACATGTATAGCCTTGGTACATGTACACATGTATAGTCTAGGTACATGTACACATGTATAGT